ACTCCTCAGGATCCATTTCACTTTAGGGAGGCCATAGGTTTGCTATGGTAACAATATGGAGCCACAGATCACAGGTTTTGTACAAAACCCTGCTAGTCACAGTGGTGCATCGAAAGAACAGAAACCACACAAGCACAGACACAGAGAACCAGAATTAAAGAGTTACAGTCACATGAACCACGCAATGCATGCTACACAGCAGACAGCAAGCCGGGTTCTTGGTGGGCAGATTATTTCTCAGAGAAACAGATGAACAGTCATTGCGCTCCAGGTCCTACAATCAGTCAACAACATGTTGCTATTGACACAGTACAGCAAGCGAAATGTGTGCTTTTAGAGTTCCCCAAGCCGTTCTTCATGGCCCAGGTAACAGAAATATGTACAAACAGAGACAATCAAATGTGTCTGCAAAAATAAAATTGACATATGCTAAACCAGTGTGCTACTGTAGTTGCAGGCACTCCTTATAAATAAGAGTATCACTATTAAAGAAAATGAATTATACTTTAAAAGCCTTAGAATAATCGCATAAATGCATCTATTTTATGACATAATTTAAAACATTTTAAAATGGGAATAAATCAATTATTTCAGACATTAATTTAAATGACAAGTGAGTCACATTAAAAATAACCAGTGTCATTTTAAAGGTTGTCAAAATATCTAAATTGCCCTTTGAAAATTCATTGATTACTGATGGGAGGATTATTGACAAATACAGTCTAATAATCATTCTATAGCTCTTTGAAATCCAAATATTTTCATTCCTTTTGTGTTATTACATATGTTTTGCTACTCCATGATTAAAAATCCACTACAATGACAAATGGGGAATTATTCCGATACTGAGATGATAAACAATAAAGTTTTAAATTCAAGAAAGTATCCATGGCCATCTTTTTCATGTAACACACAATCATAAACACTGAGAAGGCATTCCATGGATACTGATATTAACCTCAGTAAATCAGTCAGGTCAGGGTAGGTATCTCATGGAGACAATCAGAGCTAGAGCTCCACCAAGTATGCAGAAACATAGGCTTCTGTGGCATGGTTCCACACAGTTCTCAGTCACCTGGAGTCTGCATAGCCTCAGAGTGAAAGGCTTTAATAGCATATGAATGTATGAAACATCAGTAAATGATCCTCTTTGTAAATTGCTGTAAATTCTTCATCAGATACACATTCTTAAGTCCTCCATGTTTCCAACCACAGCTGTAACTGTTTCCTGTCCAGCTTATTAGTAAGTGAATAGCACTTACAGCCCACTGACGCTCCATCTTCTCCCATGATCTAAATATGGCCTTCACTGCTATAAACAGAGACAGCAATGTCTAATGTTCACCTTGGGCCTTTTGTCCCTATTCCTTACATGGTCTAAAGGATATGATTTTGATTTGGTATCTATGGACCATGATAGTTTGCTAAAAATAACATCAAACGCCAGGGATACTTATTTTCATTTTTTAAAATGTTTTAATGCACACTAGGGTTTTCCTCTCTTTTGAATTTCCCTCAGGGAAGACAGTAGAAATTTAAAAACTTGTTAGAAGTATGCTACTGTATCCAAGGACAAACTACTATCCTAACTTTCTTCAGAAATATATACTCAGAAATCCTATGTGTAGGTTTTTCTTAACTTTCATCTATTGTTTCAGATAATATTCACTTATTAACACGGCAAAGTATTGGAAGTGTTTTACCTGCATGCCCAGTGATTTTATATCTCAGTTAACTAGTCAACTTATTCTTGTTTTTCAATAGGTTCTTCATGACCTTTGTCCCTGCTTCTCTTTGTTAATTTTTAAAGCAATATTTGAGTACAGTTATCTTAATATCTAAAACTGACATTTATAGAAGAAACTTATTACTCAGAGTTAAAGTAGGCCAAGTATGGTGGCACTTATATATATAAATGCCAGTATTTGGGAGGCTGAGACAGAGGATCAAGAGTTCAAGGTCATCCTCGACTACAAAGCAAATTCAAAGCCAGTTTGAGTTACAGAAATCTATGTTCCAAAAAGGAAACAAACCCATAACAGATGACCTACAGGTCACACCCTGTCTGCACTGTGTGCTGCATACAATGTTGTTTTCCAAGAATCAGAAATGTAACAAACATGAGCCACACCTGGAGTTGGCAGCTGCTACACTCCACATTTCCCTTACATGCCCCCACCACACACCACATACCCATGGAGATTTCTTGACATTTGCTGTTGTGGAAAGACAACAGATTGAGGCGGCTGGGAATGTTCAAAACCTTGTGACAAATAACTGTACACAACACTGCTGCACAGAGCAGCTACTGGCTGCCCCCAGATAAGGAGGCTTTCTCTGTGCAGGCTCAGACCTCTGAGCGGCAGGAACAGAAGCCTCTTCACACAGGCAGCGCCTAATCTAGTTTATCAGTCACTCAGACACATTCTCCCCTTCATCAGGGCATCTTTTCATTTTGCTTTCTGTTCAAAACACTGGGGCACAAAGGATGTTCTTCATTGTGCACCACTGAAACGAAATCTTGAGGTGGGGCAAAAAAAGGAAAAAGAAAAACCTTGCCCTAAATTCCCTTTCAAAAGTGAAGCTTGGAAGACTTCAAGCAGAACACACAGCGCTATTGTTGTGGAAAAGGCCAAGGCCAAGGCTAGCAGCCAGCGAGGCTCTGCTGCATCCTCAAGAGTGAATAATAATAATAATAAAAACACCCAGGGAGAAAGGCTCCTCTGAGAAATGAGATTTCTCTTTGTCCTTCCTCTTTATTGTCATTAATATCCATGGGCCCAGCTGTTTCCTTTCTCCAACTAATCCTAAATCAATGCTATAATATTGACCCTTTTCTACTGGGTCCCCTGGGCCTACAATACATCTCCTTATACCCACTCTCAGCCCCAGAAATTTCAAATGTATTTTTAATTGAGCAGCAAAATAGAAAGCCTGATTATCTGGCTTAGTTTGGTACTGATCTTAAAAAAATTTTTTTAAAAGGTTTGAAATCTTGGATTTAGTGAATCTACTTGGACATTGAAATAACTTTTGATTTAAAATTATATGAAAAGGTACAATAGGTAATCAAAAGCAAATGTTTAAGGAATGGGATATATGATATTTTTATATGTAAATTACCACAATTATTTTCATAATGTCACCTATCTAATTTTTCTTTACATAACTAACTATATAGTTACATACTAAGGTCATGAAGTAAATTTCTTTAGTGTGTACAATTTCAAGATAAAATGTATTATTTATGACTTAAATTGTGTTGGGTTTTTCAGAGCATAAAGATACACTACAAATATGAAATGCAGTGGCATTTCCAGAGGGGAATCTGGTACTCCTGCTGAATTCTACTGAAAGTCCTATTAGCCAAGGCAACAAAATGACTCAGACTCAGAGAAAAGCAATCAAGGCCACAGCAATATGCAGAGCTATTTGTAAACCATTCGGTTTTTCTACTAATAAGTAAAAAAATACATTTCAAATGAAAATCTTTACAATAAACAAATTTATAAGTTAATGCAGATCTATCATCTCCTAGATGGGCATTTTTTGCCACTTTGGGAGGGGGATCACCTCATAATTTAAAACCTGATGTTTTAAATTATAGGTGAGACACAGGATGCCCTCTTCATGACTGACATTTGTCTGACTATAGCTATACAGACAACATTGCTAGACAATGTTTGTTTTCAAAGCGCTCTTCTTCATTTCCTCCCTATAATTCTCCACTATATAACCCAACATACCTAAAAGTTAAAATCTCTTTGTAACATCTCTACGGGGCAAAAGGGGAGATATCATCAGCAGAAGCTCACACTTTTCACCAAAAGTAATCAAAGCCCAGGAGCCTTAATGGACACACTGGTGTATGTGCACACTTCCATGTAACTATTCTGAGTCATCCTTTTTCTTTTCAATTTAGAATACCCTGCCACGCTGAACTGATATTAGTCTCTTCTCTGCTGAGAAAATTCCCAGATATTTAATAGCTATCTTTCTCACATCTTATCCCCTCATCTTGGAGCAGATACAAATATCCTTAGCATGTGAAATGTCAAGTTCCCACTGTCAGCAAGAGTTTGCTAGGTTTAGCAGAGAAATACTATTACCCAAGGCTCAGAGACAATGGCTCTTCCAAATGTTTGAAAGGTAGTTTATGTACTTATTCTCCAAAGGATGCTTGGCTTACTTTAATGGCAATATTTGATATTATGTGATTTTGTAAATTGGTTTTTATAGAGCTAGACAAACAGGGCCAAAGCTTTTCTTTTTTCCATTAGAAGTCTTGACTTTGCTCCATTTCACTAAAAGCGTGGTTAGGTTCCAATATTCTTCACGTAAGAATTACATTGTAGGGGGACTTCTACAGCAAGCTGGGACATTTAATCCTAGAGTGCCAGCCAGTATGGAAACACTCACTAGGTTCAATATATTGTATGCTTCCTTCCAAGAAATTAAAAATCTCATTGTGTGGTCTGGAAATGAAATTGTCAAAATTCAACCAGAAGAAAAAATACCAGGAAACAGCCATCTGGGAAGGTAGTTTCACTGAGATGTCTGTCTGCTGCATTTCCTTCAAAATCACCCATGCATACCTGATTTTAACCCTGAAAATTGTTAAATATATAAACTAGTAAACTTCAGTCTCAGCAAAGAAAGAACTAAAGTTTTTACCCTTCACAGAGGTGGCAACACTTGAGTTCTCCCTTGATGGAGCACAAATACTCAGTTTGCATCAGCCCTGGCTGCAAAAATACACTGCCATTTCTGCTCCTGTATTTTATCAACCAGGTGACCAGGAGAAAGATGGCAGCCCCCTCTTTTTTTTTTTCTTTTTTTAACCTTGACTTGCTAAAGTTACAATTGCAAGGTTTCAGTTTACCCCCACTTCTTTAAAAATCATCTGAAAAATAGCAGAACACAATAACCGTAGGTGGATACACTAGGAGAAACGTCAGTTATAATATCCCATCTGCTAAAATCGTGGAAGAAATACATACCCAGGCCTTCGGATTCAAAAAGACATGTTTCGTCCACTCCCAGGTCTCGGCACCAGGATAAGAAGTTGGCTGTGTTGTCTCGGGCAAAAAAGGAGCCTGAGGGTGCGCTGGCTTTGCAGGGAATCTTCTTCAGTGGCAGAGTCTGGAAAGTAAAAAAAATCTCAGTCTGGTGGGATGCTGGGCACAGTCATATCAGAGACACTTATGCTTTCAACAAAATGCTTTGGAATCTACCTTATGCTGATAACTGTGTTTGTGAAACACAAGGAAAAAGACAGTAATGTTGCAAAAACTCAAGAGATGGTAAGTCTCCTGCTGGCACACACCCTCATCTCAGGAACACTCACTGTAAATGCACAGGAGCCCTTTCCCTAATGCAGACTGGCTTTTCTTTCCCCTCTGAGATTACTTTTGTTTTCTGTCTCATCTAAATAATCTATCAGTTTTCTTCACAAAGTAAATAAAATGTGCTTTATATATCAATATTACAGACGAGATGGATGTATCCTTTGATGCATGCAGACACAGCATCCAGTTCACAAAACACAGAAAGTGTGCATGAGCTGAACCCAAACTGCAGCCACAAGAGCTCTCTACCTCATACCTCTCCACATTGGTACCAAGAAGATATATTTAAAGTCCTTAAAGATAATGTAGTAATCCTTCCAGGCGCCTTTCTGTTAGACAAATAATGTAGCTTGACCATATAGAAATAATTCATGGTTGAATAACCTGTTTTTACTTTCAAAGATACTATTTACATTCTATGTCATGTCACTTTTGACATAAAAAGAAATGCTAAGGATACAAGTGTTTGTGAACCAAAAAGACAATCCTGCTAACATTTCCCCCAGAAATCTTAGCCAGGAACTGCTGCTTGGCACTTAGGCAAGTGCTACAGGCTTTTTCTTTTACAGAGCAGAACCAGTTTCCAAACACCGCACAAAGCCAAGAAATTCATGTGATGCTAGAGCCCAAGGCAAATATTTGGTAGATATGAGCTACTTGGGACCTTGCTGAAAGAGCTAAAAGATCCAGGGAGAATATTTTGTCATTTAGACTCAGAGACAGGCATGTCCTCTACTCACAGAATAGGCAATGTGCTGTGGTTGCTTCGTTCATTTACAGGGCAATACAATCACATTGAGGACTGACCGAGTTCATGAACTTCACACAGTTTTTCACATCAAGAGGTTCTATGGCTATGTATTAAAAAATGTCTATTGCTATAGCCTGGAAGGGCCTGCTATCTGAGAGGCCCATCTTTCCACTGAAGATTAAAGTTGACACAGAATATGCACCATTGACATTTTTACATGAACACACAGGTATGCATATGTTGTATGTACTATTGTTATATTAAATTATATATACATATATTAATATATCTTATATGTAGGGTTGCCTACATGGTAATCACTCTTTTTGCTTTTATTAGTGTATGTGGATTGTACAAAACATTGAGTTTCACTGTGACATCTTCATGCATGCATACAGCATACTTGATCATAATCACATTAGGCATCACCCTGTTCCTCCTTCCCTGAGTTTGCTTTCTCATCCCTAACATCTTTTCTACTTTACATCTTCCTTAAAATCTGGCCACCACACATTCAATAAGTGTCCTTCTGAGACTGGCTCATCCGGCTTAATATGGTGATCTCCAATTCCACCTACTTCCTTGCAAATGGCATAATCTGTTCTTCCCTATGCTCAATTCTTCATTGTGTAGCATATATCACATGTTCTTTAGTCATTCCTTTTTGATGTTGGTGGACACCTAAGCTGGATTCCTAGCTTGGCTATTATGAATGATAATACAATAAACAAGAGTGTAAAGTCATCTGTGTGCTATGCTGACTGACTCCTTCCAGTACATGCCCAGGACTATTTTAGCTGGCTCATGTAGTTGTTCTATTTTTAGTTTTGTGAGGAATTTCCTTACTAATTTCCGTGGTTATTGGACTGATTTACATTTAGCACCAAGAAGATATACTGGTTCTTTGTCTCTTCCCTACAACCTTACCAGCATTTGTTCTTTTTGCTACACAGTAATATTGTGTTAACTGATCTAGTTCAGGTATCAGCAATGGTTTTCAAAGAAATACCTCCATATCAGTCTCAATTAGTATTTAAAGCATAAAATCATAATAGGAATCTTTAAACCCAGCAATTTAGTTCTAAGAATATACACTATTCAACATTGATTATGTAGGGAAAATAGAAATTATAATAATAATAATAATCAGGAGAGATCTGCTGGAGTAACAGAGTATAGAAATACAATGGAGTTCATATGATCATTTACAAGGGATAAAACACACATGTAAATATGATCAGAACATACTCTTAGATAGAAAGTAATTTACATGTATGTATTATGATTTTGTTCTATGCTGTGTGTAGGTATGCAGAGATGACCTATGCATAGTGTTAAATTTCATACAAAAACATTACAACTTTTATATTTATAAAATAAAAAATATAAATATGTCAAGAAGAATATGCATCCAATTGGAGAGTAATTACCTTTGAATAAGGGGTTGGGTGATTAAGTAGGATTTTGAGTGTGGTTAGTGTGGCTAGGAAATCAATTCATTTTTAAATTTTGATAAATAGATTCTAATAGGCACATGTGGGTAATGGTCATTATATCAATGAGAAAGCAAAGTCTTTATCTGATGTTTCATAAAATGTATTTGACTACTCTCTACTTTCCCTCAAAAGAGAAATAATATCTCCATGCCTCCTAACCCTTTTCAGAGTATTTCCCATGTATAATAAAGATACTCAATGGTACAGTTCAAATATTTTACTTGAAGAATGAACATGCAACATAAAAATGGAATTGTTACAGTTTCAGGGTACATAAGCTTCAAAGGGGTTGTAGTGACTAGACATTGCATGTATAGCCTACACATGGGGGCAGGGTCTTGTCCAACAGTACAGTGATTTTCTGATGCCCACAGTGGTCATCAGTGCACAGGAGGTACTGGCTTCACTAATGACACAAGGCATTAAAGAATGGGTAACCCAGAGCCTGTAGTGTCTTATCACAGTGGAGGTACACAATACATGTTTACATATGGATCTCTCTACTAAAATGTCAAAGCACAACACCTCAAGTTAAGTAATTAATAGAACAGCATCTCTAGCTTGTGGATGAAGAAGTTGAGCTTGTACACAATTCAAACTATATCACCAAGTTTCACCTCCACAAACTTCAACTATTCCATGATAACTCAAATTTGCTTTGAATCCAGTGTATTTCAGCATGTGGTATTTCCCCAATTTGGGCCAAGTAAGATTAAGAAGAATTAGGTATTATCCACCATGGTTTCCACTTATTAAAAAGTAAAGTAAATAAAAAGAACTAAGAAAATGCTATCTTTAATTTCCTTTATATTGTTAACTGCAATTTTGACTCTGGCAGTTTAAATAAGTTTTTTTATTCACAAAAGCTCAAGGCAGACTCTTATTTTTAATTACATCTAGTAGACATTTGAGACATAAAGCAGAAGATAGTGTGGTACTGGCCAAGAAGTAATATTGTTTCTTTTCCAAAAGGTATGTGGAGTGTGCTGTTCAAATATATAGGCAATGAAGTCACTTTTTCCACAGTGGAAATAACGTTTCCATTTGAATCCCTGTAGCTCTCTAATTCCCCATATACTTTATTGAAAAGTAATCTCTCTCAGTAAAATTTTTTGCTGACATTTAAAGAATAAAAGTGTGTGAATTCAAATACCATGTTACCTTAGAAAGGATAAAAATGAGGGCTGGCAAGGTAGTCCAGTTGGTAAAGACACTGGCCACTAATTGTGTTGATCCCCAAGTCCCACATGATGGAAAAGGAGAACCAACTCCTGAACGTTTGTCTCTGACCTTCGGACATGTGCAGTGGCATTTGCACATTTATATACACATAATAAACAGATAAATGTAACAGTATGGAGAGATGGCTCAGAGGTGAGGAGCACTATTGCTCATGTAGAGGAACCAGCTTTGGGTCCTAGAACCCACACATCAGACAGTTCACAGCTACCTGTAACTTCAGTTCCAGGGAATCCAATGCCTTCTTTTGGCCTTCATGGGTACTGTTTGCATTTGGTGCACATAAACTCACATAGGCACATATACATAAATAATAAATAAACCTAAAAACAACACCATTTTTTAAAAGGTGAAATATGCTTTTTAAGATAAAAATTAAAGAGAAAAATTAATCATTTTTGTTTTGTACTTAACATTAATTTAATAGAGAAGTGACTGAAAGCATCAGGCTGGAATTCTAAATGGGCCCTCCATTTCCTCTCTAAGACAAATTTCACATGATAGAGATCTGGCTTTTGATGCAAATTCGGTTGTGGCCATCATGTTGTAAATACCACAAATACGCAATGAGAAAAAAATTTACAGAGCTTTCTGACAACACAGGCTTGCCATAGCTTTCGTCCTTTGAAATCATGAGAATAATTGTTTAGAAGGTCCACCACACTCCAGTTTAAGGCACAACAGCCAGAAGTATGTAAACAGTAAAACCGGAATCCAAGAGTTAAGAATTTAAAAAGTAAAAGTCACAAAGTTGGAGGGTGGGGAGGTGGTGGTGGATCTGGTAGAAGCAAAAGGGAAGAGTTGCAGTGAAAATGATCAAAACACATTGTAGGAAGATTGCTAAGGAATTAATGCAATATTAAAAATTCGACTTAAATATACACATGGGTCTTTTTAGTTACTTAGAACAAATCTCTGTTATTACAAAAAGTGATAGAAATGAAAATCAAATCTAGAGTCAAACTCAAAGCTTAAAGAGACACAGCAATAAGAGTAACCTCTGTGTGCTGAAACCCTGATCAGGAGTTACAGAAACATTCAGAATTACTAACAAGGATGCCACCAAGATGGCTTCAGAGGGAGCTATGAGAATGAGAAGGGAAGAAAAGGAAGGATGCAGAGGTCATGAAGGAGCAGAAAGGTTGAGTCAGGTGTAGATTAGAAGAAAGGATATGTGATAGGTAGCATTTTAGTTGGGGGGTTGGGAGGGAAGGAAGGGAGGGAGAAGGGAACTGGGATTGTCATGTAATTCAATCTTGTCTGTAATTCAAAAAAAGCCCCAAGGCAAATGGAAAAAAATTATTAATA